AAACTTTAACGTTGTGCGGTATTTTAGTTTTAGTGGTAGTAACATTGGTTGGATTAATATTGTCATCAAATTCTATGTTTGATAAGAATATATAAAATGTTTGGATAGTTGTTACATTATATATAAAATTGGTTGATACTGCCCCTTCATTTTATAATCAGTTTACCTTCTTTGGTTTCAAAACAATTACTTGAACTAAATTAATTACTACACACGTAATCAATTTTTTTAAATTTTTGTAGTTATGTCAATGTAACGGTGTTGGAACGACCTAAATTGATCATTATAATGAATATTTAAATAATTGATAAATTTAAAAAATAAAAATTTAAAAAGTTTCCTCTCTGTCACCGTAAAAATGTATCTAGATATTATTATAGAAATGATACTATTTAACATAACAAAAATTAAAAATTGAAATAATTTTAAAATAAATCAATTTTTTTTTCTTTGTTTTTGTAAGAAATAAGCAAAATCCAAAACCAACTCAATTACTTGACCATCTGAAATAGTCTTACTCATTCTGTTCCAAAATTATTGTTAGTTTGTATTTTTATTTTTAGTTCAATATATGCTAAAAATGAAAATCCAATCTGAACAATAATTTTGAGATGGATGAAATACTATTTTTCATTCCATATGTACTTTTATTGTAGTGGCAACAAAAAAGAAAAAAACAATAAGTGGTCGATGAAAACTTGAAAAATCTTCAGTTGTTCGAATCCTAATCTCTACTAGAGAGACCGAGTTTTGGAATTAAGAGGTTATTGCTCATTCTTTTGCAAATGTTTCTAGTCCTGGGATGTACGTTCCTGAATCTAGTAAAGTTTGCCTCCTATTTTTGTTATTTATTTGACATTAGATGATTAATTCAAATAATCTCTTTTTGAAATTTACTTTTTCCGTTAAAAAAGAAAGAGAAGAAAAAAATATCTAGAGCTAGTTTGGTTTTGCTTCCAAACCGCCAAATTTACCATCCGTCAAGATAAATCTAACGTCAGAATAAATCGAAAACCTACTGACTCAAATTTGAGTAGACTCTACATAGTTTTGGAGCAAATTTGGTGAAAAATGAATGACAGGTTCACGTACCGTAGTTTGTATTTCACCAAAATGTTTTTTGCTTCATATAGAGTGGCCGAATAAGATTGTCTCAATATTTTATACTAGTTACAACGAAAATTTAACAAAAAAATTGTAAGAAAATAATATGACTAAATTTTAACTAGTAAATTCCTGGTAAAATTTTCCCTAACGCTGAGATAAGTATGAACGGTTTTAATTTATTCCTTGTAAATTTTTTTTACACATTTCCTTTACATATATCTTTATTTATGTTTTGGATAATGATTTGTACAGGGAGAAAATTACAAGGAATTGATCATAACCATTTATTTTTAACACTTTTCATTTGGGGTTTAAGCATTTAAGATTAAAGCATAATTTAGATGATTGACAACTCATTCCTTGTAAGTTTTCTTTGTAAATTTTCCCTTTATGTATCATTACTCTTATGTTTTATAGCCACATTAAAGGTGTTTTCTTACCACCTTATTGACAAGATAACTTAGTAAGTGTAATATTAATTACAATTTAATAAATACGTCCAACTATTAATTGTTAGAATAAAAAGTTGAAATGAATTAATGTGGAATAAATAAGTCCAACCATTAATTGTTAGAATAAATAGGTAAGAAATGATTTGCAATTATTATATGGTGCATTGATCTAATTAATGAAATCTATTTAAGAAATAAATAACTAATTAAAATATTAAGTATTAAATTAGTCAACTCTTTCCATGTTTAATATCATTTATCATTATTCAAGCCCAAAACATAATTACAAAAAAAATTCAAAAACAAAAAAAATTAATAAATTAATATAATCTTATTCATTAAAAAACTAAAGGTTCATAATTATACAATAAAAAACTCATGAATAATAATCATATTTTTTACATCAAATATACATAAAATTCATAGCTTTTGATTACAAAATTCTACACATAATCACAAATTAAAGGTTCTCATGTTTAATCTTCTATTCATACATTTACTATGATTGATCATAAAGATTATGTGACATGTTCATACAAATTAGAGAAATTTTAATAAATTAATCATGTATACAATAAATGTTCATACTCTTTTAAAATATTCATAAATAATACTCAAATTTTTCACCATATAAATTGCCGCAATCTTGACATCATACTACAACTTTCATGTCAGCATTACATACCTTATATTTTTATTTTATACTATTTTCTTTTACAAAAGTTTACGCTTTTGCGGCAATTTTTTCTCCTCGAAAAATTTTACGTAAGGGCAAAGTATAAGTTAGCCCGCATAATGATATCAGTTGACTATGTAAAGTTTTCTTTTACATTCGAGTTTAATTACAGTTTACTGTGCACTGAAATAGAATACTGAAAATAAGTATTAAATAACCAGTTAAAAATATAAATACAGATTTATTATAAATCAATATTTGATTTGAGGTTGTTGATTAAGTTTAGGATTTATTTTTAATTTGTAAACTCATGAGCGGGCGAAAGTCAATTTTACGATTTGCATAACCGGTGACCAAACTTGCGTTTAAATGAGGGTTATTTTAGCCCGTCTATTGATCGAACATCACTAAGTCTAAACTTAACATTACGAACGTCGGATACGAGGGGATAGTTATGAAATAACCCTTATATATTTGTATCATTAGATTGAACGAAGCGCTAATCCATGGTCTCGCTTTGATAAATACTTTTGTTGAATTGTTAAAGTGCGAAAGAGTGAACTTCATTTTTCTTTCTTAAAGAAATCAAATCGGTGATTTAAACACTATTGAAGTTAAGTACTAAATCCAAACTTTTATTCATTTTTTCGGGGTTTTTTTAACTCTCTATTTTGGGGGCTCCGTGTAATTCTCACTGATCACAGTTTCTTTTATGCTTTAGGCTGATTCATTTTCTTAGGGAAACATTTGCTTTCTACTCTTATTTAATTTAAACAGTCCAATAATGATTAGCCTAGTTAACTTGAGGTGTCCTTGACCTAATTCGAGAAAACTTTCTGTTCAACTTAATTCAGGACTCATGTCAAAGAAAAAAAACTTAATTCAGGACTACAACAAAATTGAAAAGCTTTGAACGTTTCTGTACTTTGTTATGTGCTCACAGTGTAAACTTTTTTTTTATAAACACAACACAATCTTTTTTTTTCCTTTAATTATTTTTTTTTACGCACATGCCACTATTTTACTTCCTTCTGTCGGATTTATAAATAAAATAAATAAATCAAAATTAGATTTAGTTCAAAATCGTGCATCGATCCGAAACCAGAGGGAGAGAATTACATAACTAAACAAAGACATATATTCTTAAACAAAACGAACTTCCTCTAGTACTGTTCCCACAACAAGAAGGCAAAAACTGATTATTATAACTACCAAAGTTGACTTTATTAATTGTTTTACACGGAACTACATATATCAGGATCAAATGAGTCAGACTAAAAATTTCGTTGCTATTTCTTCTTTTGAACGATCGAACAGTTTCCTAAGTTTCAACAGCAAATGCTCACCAAAGTCATCTCTCGATCGTTTGAATTTCCTAATGAAGACTTATTCCATTAGTTATGTGTTGCGAGTAGTGCATTTAAAACTAATTACTTATAAAGACCTAACAAGGCACTTTAACAACTAGCAACCAAGTGGGAGATATTCGAAAACTATCTTAATTGCCTGCAGGTTTGTTTGGGATTGATATTCTGTGATGCAGATTATCCATTGATGACACGATTTTGAACTAAAGTTTGTTAAAGTCCTTGCTAATGGAAGGAGGAATTAGAAGTTTTCAATAAGAGGTTTGCATGTTTCTTCAACATTTGCCCATAAAAAGTTTACCTTATTTCTTCAACCTTGTTTCAAGTACATTTGTCCATTAAAAGTAATTAACTTTATTTCGTCAACCTTGTTTCAACATTTGTCCTAAACACAGCGTCAACTGATGCTGAATCAAGTTAATGATGATCATGATTTCGACCAAGTTGCTATTTATAAGTAAATTTAAATATTTGTTTTGGAGAATCATGGACGCCATGAAAGTTTTTCTAGGATAAATAAATAGTATTGGTTGTAACTTATAGCAGGCCCTATGGTTGATCTCTATATACCCTGTGCAATATATATAACTTTGGTGCGTCGTTTCAGTACTTCAGAAGGTCTTAATCAAGAAAGATACTAAATATATATATAACAAGTTGCAATCATCCTCGCAAGTCGCATGCAACCATTACTCAAAAAGGAAGACTTCCAGATTAAAATATGCGGACTTTTGTGTTGTCAACTTCGATCATAGTTGAGGAATCTAAGAGGATCCCAACTCAGTTTGAAATTTGATCTTTGCCTTCAACACGTCCGTTTTACCAAGCATGTACTTATCATCGTCCTCTGACATCACTATAAAAGACCTCACTTTATGCTTTTCCCATCTTCAAACCACAACAAAAATACAGTCTCTTGGAACCCGGAGCTAAAATGGGTTCCAAGAGCATCACATTTCTAGCCCTTTTTCTTCTCTTCATTCTTCCTCTTTTTACTCTTGTCATGGCAGCATGTGAAAATGGTAAATGTCAAGATTCAAAACCAAAACATGAAGATAAACGCGAGGTTAACCCAACACCTCTTAAACTCATATCCCTTTCATCATCTTACAAGTCGAAATCTCCTCCACCACCTCGTAAACTTAAATATCCTCCGCCGCCATATAAACTCAAATCTCCACCCCCTCCTCCCCCTAAAACTAAATATTTCCCACCACCTTATCGATTCAAATCTTCCCCACCACGTCCTCGATTGAAATATTCCCCCCCACCTCATAAACAAAATTCTCCACCCCCACCTCATCTAAAACCTAGATCTCCCCCGCCACCCCTTAAAACTAAAAGTCCTCCACCTCCTAAATTTAAAGATTTTCCTCCAACTCCCAAACCTAAATCTCCTCAACAGCTTCCCAAATTTACATCTCCCCCACTACCATTTAAACCCAAATCTCCTCCACCACCACCTCCTAAATTCAAATCTCCCACACCGCCTCCTAAACCCAAATCTCCTCCCCCATCTCCTATATTAAAATCTCCCCCACCACCTCCCAAATTAAGATCTCCACCGCCACTTTGCCCTCCACCTGTAGGACCTAGAAGTCCACTTACACCTCCTCCTCCAACAATTAAACCACAAAGTCCACCACCACCTGTTAGAAAGAGCAGTCCACCACCACCAGTAAATACTAAAAGTCCGCCACCACCTTCCCTATCACCACCTATTGTACCAAAGAGTCCCCCGCCACCTGCTGAACAAGTTAGTCCCCCTTCACCAGTTGAACCAGAAAGTCCCTTGTCACCTCCGCCACCATATATTAACCATAAAAGTCCGCCACCACCTGTTGAACAATTTAGCCCCCTCCACCAGTTGAACCAGAAAGTCCATTGTCGCCTTATCCTCCACCTATTAACCATAAAAGTCCCCCACCACCGGTTGAATTTGAAAGTCCTCCGCCACCTATTGAACTTGAAAATCCCCCACCACCAATTGAAACTAAAATTCCTCCACCACCTGTAGAATTAGAAAGTCCTCCGCCACCTCTACCTATTGAATCACAAAGCCCTCCACCACCTGTTGAACCTAAAAGTCCCTCACCATCGTCTCTAAGTCCCCCCCCCACCTTCTCAACACGAGAGTCCTCCATTAGCCCCCCCACCACCTGTTGAAGATGAAAGTCCTTCACCACCTGTACAAACCAAAAGTCCACCCCCACCTAAGGAATCAGAAACCCCTCCACCACCTTTTGAACTTCAAAGTCCTTCACCGCAATTCGAATTAGAAAGTCCCCCTCCGCCCATTAAATCAGGAACTCCCCCTCCACCTGTGGAATCTAAAAATTCTCCACCACCTATTGAACTTGAGAGTCCCCCACCACCCAACGAATCTGATAGTCCGCCACCACCTGTTGAAATAAAAAGTCCACCGCCATCTATAGAAGTAGAAAGTCCCCCTCCACCTGTTGAATCAGGATCTTCTCCTCCCCCTATGGAATCTCGAAATTCCCCACCACCTATTGAACTTGAGAGTCCCCCACCCCCTCAAGAATCTGAACGTGCACCTCCACCACCCATTGACACTGAAAATCCACCGCCACCTATTGAAGTTAAAAGTCCCTCACCACCACTTGAATTAGAAACTCCACCACCATCTATCGAAACAAAAAGTCCACCTCCACCTGTTGATTCAGATGGTCCCCTGCCACCTTCCGAATTAGAAAGTCCTCCGCCACCAGTTGAATCAGAAACACCCCAGACACCTGCAATAGAAACTCCCTCGCCACCTTTTGAATCAAATAATCCTCCTCCACCTGTAGATTCAGAAAGTCCCTCACCACCAGTATCAGATAGTCCTTCTCCACCAATGGATTTACAAAGTCCTCCACCACCTATTAAAATAGAAAGTCCACCACCACCTATTGAAACAGAAACTCCACAGCCATCTATTGAAGTAGAAAGTCCTCCTCCGCCCATTGAATCAGGAACTCCCCCTCCGCCTGTGGAATCTAGAAATTCTCCACCACTTATTGAATTTAAGAGTCCTCCACCACCTACCGAATCTGATAGTCCGCCACCACCTATTGAAATAGAAATTCCACCGCCATCAATGGAAGTAGAAAGTCCCCCTCCACCTATTGAATCAGGATCTTCCCCTCCCCCTATGGAATCCCAAAATTCCCCACCACCTATTGAACTTGGGAGTCCCCCACCACCTCTTGAATCTGAACGTGTACCTCCACCACCCATTGACATTGAAAATCCACCGCCATCTGTTGAATTTGAAAGCCCTCCAACACCAGTTGAATTAGAAACTCCTCCACCATCTATCGGAACAAAAAGTCCACCTCCACCAGCTGATTCAGATAGCCCCCCGCCACCTTCCAAATTAGAAAGTCCTCCGCCACCAGTTGAATCAGAAACACCCCAGACACCTGCGATAGAAACTCCCTCTCCACCTTTTGAATCAAATAATCCTCCTCCACCTGTAGATTCAGAAAGTCCCTCACCACTAGTATCAGATAGTCCTCCTCCACCAATGGAATCACAAAGTCCTCCGCCACCTATTGAAATAGAAATTCCACCACCACCTATTGAAACAGAAACTCAACCGCCATCTATTGAAGTAGAAAGTCCTCCTCCGCCCATTGAATCAGGAGCTCCCCCACCGCCTTTGGAATCTGAAAATTCTCCACCACCTATTGAATTAAAGAGTCCTCCACCACCTACCGAATCTGATAGTCCACCACCACCTATTGAAATAGAAAGTCCGCCGCCATCAATGGAAGTAGAAAGTCCCCCTCCACCTGTTGAATCAGGATCTTTCCCTCCCCCTATGGAATCCCAAAATTCCCCACCAACTATTGAACTTGGGAGTCCCCCACCACCTCTTGAATCTGAACGTGCACCTCCACCACCCATTGACATTGAACATCCACCGCCACTTGTTGAATTTGAAAGCCCCCCACCACCAGTTGAATTAGAAACTCCTCCACCATCTATCGAAACAAAAAGTCCACCTCCACCAGCTAATTCAGATGGTCCCCCGCCACCTTCCGAATTAGAAAGTCCTCCGCCGCCAGTTGAATTAGAAACGCCCCAGACACCTGCAATAGAAACTCCCTCGCCACCTTTTGAATCAAATAATCCTCCTCCACCGGTAGATTCAGAAAGTCTCTCACCACCAGTATCAGATAGTCCTCCTCCACCAATGGAATCACAAAGTCCTCCGCCACCTATTGAAATAGAAATTCCACCACCACCTATTGAAACAGAAACTCCACCGCCATCTATTGAAGTAGAAAGTCCTCCTCCGCCCATTGAATCAGGAACTCCCCCTCCGCCTGTGGAATCTGAAAATTCTCCACCACCTATTGAATTTAAGAGTCCTCCACCACCTATCGAATCTGATAGTCCGCCACCACCTATTGAAATAGAAAGTCCACCACCATCAATGGAAGTAGAAAGTCCCCCTCCACCTATTGAATCAGGATCTTCCCCTCCCCCTATGGAATCCCAAAATTCCCCACCACCTATTGAACTTGAGAGTCCCCCACCACCTCTTGAATCTGAACGTGCACCTCCACCACCCATTGATATTGAAAATCCACCGCCACCTGTTGAATTTGAAAGCCCGGAACCACCAGTTGAATTAGAAACTCCTCCACCATCTATCGAAACAAAAAGTCCACCTCCACCTGTTGATTCAGATGGTCCCCCGCCAGCTTCCGAATTAGAAAGTCCTCCGCCCCCAGTTGAATCAAAAACTCCCCAGACACCTGCAATAGAAACTCCCTCGCCACCTTTTGAATCAAATAATCCTCCTCCACCTATAGATTCAGAAAGTCCCTCACCACCAATATCAGATAGTCATCCTCCACCAATGGAATCACAAAGTCCTCCGCCACCTATTGAAATAAAAAGTCCACCGCCACCTATTGAACCGGAAATTCCACCGCCATCTATTGAAGTAGAAAGTCCTTCTCCGCCCATTGAATCGGGAACTCCCCCTCCGCCTGAGGAATCTAAAAATTCTCCACCACCTATTGAATTTGAAATTCCCCCACCACTTACCGAATCTGATTGTCCACCACCACCTATTGAAATAGAAAGTCCACCGCCATCAATGGAAGTAGAAAATCCCCCTCCACCCGTTGAACCAGGATCTTCCCCTCCCCCTATGGAATCCCAAAATTCCCCACCACCTATTGAACTTGAGAGTCCCCCACCACCTCTAGAATCTGAACGTGCACCTCCACCACCCATTGACATTGAAAATGCACCGCCACTTGTTGAATTTGAAAGCCCCCCACCACCAGTTGAATTAGAAACTCCTCCACCATCTATCGAAACAAAAAGTCCACCTCCACCCGTTGATTCAGATAGTCCCCCACCACCTTCTGAATTAGAAAGTCCTCCGCCACTAGTTGAATCAGAAACACCCCAGACACCTGCGATAGAAACTCCCTCGCCACCTTTTGAATCGAATAATCCTCCTCCACTTGTAGATTTAGAAAGTCCCTCACCACCAGTATCAGCTAGTCCTCCTCCACCAATGGAATCACAAAGTCCTCCTCCACCTATTGAAATAGAAACTCCACCGCCATCTATTGAAGTAGAAAGTCCTCCTCCTCCCATTGAATCAGAAACTCCCCCTCCGCCTGTGGAATCTGGAAATTCCCCACCACCTATTGAATTTGAGAGTCCCCCACCACCTACCGAACATAATAGTCCGCCACCACCTATTGAAATGGAAAGTCCACCGCCATCAATGGAAGTAGAAAGTCCCCCTCCACATGTTGAATCAGGATCTTCCCCTCCCCCTATGGAATCCCAAAATTCCCCACCACCTATCGAACTTGAGAGTCCCCCACCACTTCTAGAATCTGAACGTGCACCTCCACCACCTATTGACATTGAAAATCCATCGCCACCTGTTGACTTTGAAAGCCCCCCACCACCAGTTGAATTAGAAACTCCTCCCCCATCTTTCGAAACAAAAAGTCCACCTCCATCCGTTGATTCATATAGTCCCCCGCCACCTTCCGAATTACAAAGTCCTCTGCCCCCAGTTGAATCAGAAACACCCCAGTCACCTGAAATAGAAACTCCCTCGCCACCTTTTGAATCAAGTAATCCTCCTCCACCTGTAGATTTAGAAAGTCCCTCACCACCAGTATCAACTAGTCCTCCTCCACCAATGGAATCACAAAGTCCTCCGCCACCTATTGAAATAGAAAGTCCACCGCCCCCTATTGAAACAGAAACTCCACCGCCATCTATTGAAGTAGAAAGTCCGCCCATTGAATCAGGAACTCCTCCTCCGCCATTGGAATCTGGAAATTCTCCACCACTTGTTGAATTTGAGAGTCCCCCACCTCCTACCGAATCTAATAGTTCGCCACCACCTATTGAAATAGAAATTCCACCGCCATCAATGGAAGTAGAAAGTCCCCCTCCACCTGTTGAATCAGGATCTTCCCCTCCCCCTGTGGAATCCCAAAATTCCCCACCATCTATCGAACTTGAGAGTCCCCCACCACCTCTAGAATCTGAACGTGCACCTCCACCACCCATTGACATTGAAAATCCACCACCACCTGTTAAAGTTGAAAGCACTCCACCACCAGTTGAATTAGAAACTCCTCCACCATCTATTGAAACAAAAAGTCCACCTCCTCCTGTTGATTCAGATAGTCCCCCGCCACCTTCCGAATTAGAAAGTCCTCCGCCTCCTTTCAATTCGGAAAGTTCACCACCACCTATTGACTCAGAAAGTCCCCCACCGCCCATTGGAGTAAAAAGTCCTCCACCAGTAGAAATCAGAAACCCCCCACCATCTATAGAAATTGTAAGCCCGCCACCACCTATTGAACTTAATAGTCCCCCACCTCTTTTAATTCCCCCTCCACCTCCGATATCAACTCCTCCTCCTCCCATCCCAACTCCTCCGCCACCTCTCACATTATCTCCCCCTCCCAACTCAACTCCCATTCCACCTCCAACATCAACTCCCCCGCCCCCTCTCAACACTCCTCCGCCACCCCTCACATTAACCCCCCCTCCACCTTCTATATTAACTTCCCCGCCCCCTCCCATTTCAAAGCCCCCTCCACCTCCAACAGCAACTCCCCAGCCCCCGCCCCCTCCAAACTCAACTCCCCCACCACCTCCAACATCAACTCCACCACCCCCACCCCACTTAACTCCTCCCCCACCTCCGATATTGAGTCCCCCTCCACCTCCAAAATCAACTCTGCCACCTCCTCCCAACACAGCTCCCCCTCCACCTCCTATCACATTGAATTCTCCTCCCCCTCCACAATCAACTCCCCCACCACCTTCTACTGTTCTAGCAAATTGCTCAAAGAATGTCCAACAATTTAGTGTATGTGCTATTTTTAATGGTGGAAGTAAGGACGGAAATGCTGGACAATGTTGCTCTCGTTTGAATGATCTCACTAATCTTGAAGCCGCCAATTGCCTTTGCAAAGCCATCCAGTTACAAGTACTTGACACTTCTAATCTTAAAATTACAAGTGTCATTAAGGAGATCCTCAAAGATTGTGATAAGAAACTTCCAGATGGTTTCAATTGTCCACCATGAAAACCTTGAAATTTTTTCCTTTTTCCAAGATCAATCATTGACCTTTTATTTTTGTGTGTGTCTATTTCCAAGATTTGTTCATTTTTTTAAATTGTTTGTAATGCATAGATCCAGTGTAATCCTTCATGTAAAGAAATTATGGAGTTCGGATATGACTTCAATAAGAGTATATTGTGAAAGATTGTTTGAAGTCATTTTTGAGCTTGTTGATCTTGGAAGTTTCTTACATTTTTAAGGTACATGGAAAGATTATAATCATTGATTTGTTTTACAAGAGGTGAGATATGATCCCCGAATGTTAAGCACACACTTAGATAGTTTTATGCTGATTTGCTGACAAATGATTATTTAGAGGTGAATTAGCTTTATTGAATTTGTAAAAAAAAATAATTAAATGATTGAATGATAGAAGTTACCATTGTAGTATTATAAATGAATAAAGATATGTCTATTTACCAATTTCATCACAATTATTAGAACTAAAAACCTTCGACATTCAAGTTTGAAATCTCAGTTAGAGGATGTAGATTATTAATACTACATGACAAGAGGCTGATACTACTATAGATGAGAAAATAGGCAGAAATCAAAATATTTTGGACTGCAACATATAAAGTTTTGGGTTTAAACCAATCAAATATTTTTATGGCCAAAAGGTTCTTCCTATTTTCACCTTATTTTCTAGGCAATAAATACACATTATAAATATGTTAAAAATTCTATTCATATCAGTTAAAAAAGTAAAAATTTCTTTATAAGTCATTCAATATTGGAAAGATTTAGCCAACATTAATATTTTTGTTAGGAGTTCTAGTGGAGTGCAATGGCTAGATACCGCTTCGTAAGGAGTGAGACCATAGGTCTAACATGATATTATTAGGGTTTTGTATTCCCGGAATGTGATTATTTAATTGTGAAACACTCCTTTCATTTCAAAAGAAAAAAAAAACTTAGTTCAATCAAAGAATGACTCATTTTAAGAAGCTCAATATATGTGGTATGATTAATCAAAAGGCATCTTTTTATGATTAGAAACTCTACCATTCATAACAAAAATACAAAGAGGTTATCAAAATTCTCTCCTATCATTATCATAGCCTAGATTAATTAAGTTGCAAGTTTAAGGAGCCGTTTGTTAAGGAGGAATCGGATTCGGGGATTTGATTCAGGAATTGCTTGAATGTTTGGTTAACGGGAATTGGATACAATCTTTCAGATTCGGATTGGATTTTCCAATCCCACCAGCCCCCCCATGGGATTCAATCTGAATCGACCCCTCCGGATTCAATTTTTCTATCGGTCAAATTTTTTTCTCTTTTATGTCCTCCAATTTCCCCTTTTCTCTCTCTTTTTGTTTCATCTTCTTCATATTTCTTCCTTTGTGATTCTTCCACAACACAAACTGATAATAACAGGTGTTCCTAATCAAATGTCCAATGAAGATGACTCATCAATATGTTAATTGGTTGTCCACCAATACATGAATCAAACCCAAATCAAACGGATCTCTCACAAATTTGTTAACTATAACTCAATCAAACCTTTGATATGAACTTTTTGATGTCTTGGTTCCGACAATCTTTGATGTTTTGGATATGGATGTCATGGCAACACTATACAAATCCATCGTTAAATGTGGCTAATTTTGGAGTAACCAACCAGTCAAAATAGATTGCAACAATATGACACTCCTGTTATCATTGCCAAGCTTCAGAGTTCATATTGAACGGAGGTGCTAAGTGGATGATAGAGTTGGGAAAGATGGGAATCTGGGAAACAGATGTAGAAGACGAAGAAGAAAAATGGGAAATTTTTTTTTATTTTTAATTTTTTCTATAAATGGTATTACAGTTGAGGAAAATAGGTGGGCATTTTTATCTTTCACATAACATAAAGATGTGAGTTTTTTTTTTTATTACACATATAATATTTTGCTGGAGAGTTTTTTTCTTTTCCCCTTCTTCAAAAATATTAATGTTGTCAAACCCAGACCGGACCAGTCGGTCCAACTGATTGAACTACCACCCGCTAAGAAGGACTGTCCGATTCTATGGCAAACCAGACGTAGGGTTGCTAATTCGGTCGGTTCGGGTTAATCGTTTTTTTTTTTACTTCCTAAACCCGACCGAAGTTTATTAATCCCCAAACCGAATCGAGCCGAAGAAGCAATCGGTTTTTTCAGTCGGGGATCGGTTAACCCGAAATATTCCAATTAGGACATTTACAAGATTTTCACTTTTCAGTTTTTAGTCACACAAAAATTCTAAAAATGACACAAACAAATGCAAATCAGTGAAATTACTGATCACATTGTCACAGTAACACAAAATATAGAAATAGACCAAGTTTCAAACCTAAATTTTCAACATTTCAACATTTCGAGTTTCGACTTAAAGTTTCAAACTTCAAAGTCCACACTCCACAGCAATAACACTTAACAACAATACAGCAGGACAGAAATGATCTAGAAGGCAGAAGCCACAAACAAGAATTACAGAAACCACAAACCACTAAACTAGAATTACAGAAATGATCTCCCAAAGGACCCCAACTGAGTTCATGAGCCATTAGGCATTAACTAGTTACAGAAAAAGCTTAAGTTCAGAACAGAACAACAGTTCAACTTCATTAGTTCATTGTTCATTCTTCAACGTTTTAACGCTTCAATTGGCACTTGGCAGCATTGCAGGCTTGCAGGCTTGCAGCAGGCATTAGGCATTAGGCAATCAACATTCAGCAATCTGGAATTTTACGTTTAAGTCAGCAAATTGAGAAATAAAGAAACTCATGCAATAGGCAATCTGGAATTTTACGTTCAAGTCAACAACCATCTAAAGTTTACCTATCATTGAAGCGTCCCAAAAGCTTGATCACGACAAATCCACAGTCTCTGATTCACCAGCATTCATTTCCTTCTCAACAGCTGAAAAGATGAAACACCAAAACAAACACAAACAGTCAATATTCAATAAAATGAAAACAAACAGTTAAAAAATAAAATGAAAACACAAACTGTAACAGTGTAACCTTCTTCAATCTGTATGAGTTCTTCCCAGCTTTCTTCGACACTTTCTTCTTCAACTTCTCCCCGAAGCTGATCTTGAGTGCAAATTAAGCACTGAACAGTCTTTGGAGTCAAAGAACTCCGGAATGGATCCAATACCCTCCCACTCGTACTAAAGCAAGATTCGGAAGCCACAGTTGAGACAGGAATGGCCAAAATATCCCGAACCATCATTGAAAGAATGGGAAACCTAGGGCTGTTAACGCACCACCACTTCAGCAGATCGAAAGTTGGACCACATGGTTCACCGTCCTCCCTGAAATACTTGTCCAATTCTGATCTTTTATCAGTCTGGGAAGCGCCACCAGCTTCTTCATTTTTCTGCTGCGCCAACACCCTAAATCTTTCTCTAATCATTTCTAAAGGCTCGATATCAACAGGGGAAGGCCTTTTTGAGGATAAAGTACTAGAATCAGGCTGGGAGGAAGGCGAACTAACACTAGGTTTAGGGGCATGCATTCTCACATAATCCGCAAACAACTCATATATGGCGCTTTTAATAGTTTCAAATCTACCCTTCCCATCCACTTGTCCATAAACATCGACAAGTACATCATCCAAATACCTCAACTTATTTCTAGGATAAAAAACACATGCCATTAAAATAACCAGATTCATATTCTTAACCTCACCATAGTATTTATTAAACTTTCCCTTCATCATTTCAACCATTACTTTTTTATCCTCATCATCGCTTTCATTGATGATTTTCTTTAGCAATACATCAATACAAGTAAGATCAATGAAAAAAGAAGTTGAGGAGACAGATTTGCTACGAGATACCCTCAAGGTTATCTCGTAAAAATGATGAAGAATCCCAGCTACCCTCCTAGCTTCTGCCCAATCCACTGCAGTAGGCAGTCCATGACCTGAATTTGGCACTAAAGGATCATATTTCAAAGCATCTTTGTAGTGCTGATTACCAGTTTTGAATCTCCTAAAATCTCTTTCATACTTTTGAGCAATTTCCAACATAATATATGTGGAGTTCCATCTAATACAAACATCTAATACTAGATTCTTGGAACTACCACACTTCTCAATTTCAGCACATCTTTTAAAGCTGGCTATTCTTTTAGGAGACTACCGAATATACTTAGCAGCAGCCCTAATCCTATCAACAGATTTACCTATATATGCCAAACCATCCTTAACAACTAGATTAATCACATGAGCCACACAACGATTATGCAACCATTTTGCACCTAACACACAATTTTCCCGGACAACAAACTGCTCTTTCAGATAATCAAGAGCAACATCATTAGAACTAGCATTATCAACAGTTATAGAAAAGATATTTTCATTTTCAATCCCCCACTCCATCAAACATTTTTCAATTTCAGCCCCGATATCAACCCCCCTATGACTTGAAATGGGAACAAAACTTGAAGTTTTTTTTTTCTCAAAACCCATTTATTATCCACATAATGCCCAGTCAGACACATATAATTAATCTACTGCACAGACGTCCAGTCAAACAGATTCTACTACCCAGACCCTTAAGTTCAAGTTTCAATTTTGCTTTTTCAGATAAATACAGCTTGTAGCAGCCATTAGCTACAGTCTGTCTACCCTTAGGAGTAAACAATGGCTGTAACTTCCTAACAAAATACCTAAACCCAACTTTATCAACAAACCTAAAAGGCAATTCATCTACTATTATCATACTAATCATTGCCCTAATAATTTCAGTTTCATCATACTTCCAAGTACTTATATTTCCCTGTTTTCCCACCCCAGACTCAACAACTAGCTTAGACTGACCAGAATCATGCTTCTGAGTTAAATACGCCTTAAAAGACCCCAAATGGCTATGAAGACTACTTGTGCCATGTTTCTTAGGATCAGCCATATAGGCAGTCTTACAATAACTACACGTAGCCCATACTTCACCATTAGTCAGTGTAGATTTGGAGAAATGAGCCCAGACAAACTGACCTATTATGAGTTACCCTGCGCCGCTTAGGAGAT